CATGTAAGTACTGGTGGATAAAACTGGATTACCTTATTTGAAGATTTATGTATGTTTCTCTATGATAGGACCCATAAGAAGTTACATACAAGCTACTCACATTGACTTCTCCCATCTCTCTTGTACTCTCTCATAAAATAATTATTTACATGGTCTGGTGTGTTCACCATAATTTGATATTTGTGAACGGCTGGGAATTCCACGTACAGGAATTACATACCCAGTCACTCCTATGGGCAAAAGCATACATCTGCATGGGAAGTGTCAATTATTGATGTCTGATTAACCAAACTTGGAATGTTTTGAAAAATTTTGGTAAAACTTTTTAGTATTAAATTCCATAAAAATCCATTCAGCAGTTCTTGTGTTGTTAATGCAAACAAATGGATGGACAGACAGACATGGCAATGCAAACAGGTACATTTTTGCAGTGTTTAGTTCAAATTCACATAAAAATGACCAGTGAAGATGAAGTAAAAATGTATATAAATAGTATGAACTGTTTCTAATATGACCACAAAAAGTGTGTTTCTTCACTAGGGAACAGTGTCATGCTTCTACCTTGTCTATACTGTTATACTTACAGTTGGCTGGCAAACTTACCTCCCCAGAACTAACCTTCATTTTACAAAAGAAGTGCTTTTTTCCTCCCTGAAAAATTGCACTTTGTAACTCTGTAATTTTACCTTGGGTTGACAACTTGTAAACTCAACTCAGTATAACTTTGTTTACCACTGACCATACTAAAAGTAAGAATTAAAATAATAATTAAATCAGGGTCTGTAGAGTTGAATACCAGTAATCCAAAACAGTGTTCCACCATGAAACAGTTTAAATGGCTAGCAGACACATTCAAAACATATTTACCTTCTCTTCATATTCACAAACATATGGCACTGTAAGTTTGACAAAAGCCTAAATTACAGTCACTTCATCTTGTTATTAAATTAAATTAAAATTATCATAAAACAGTACTTTTGAAAATATTTAGCAGTACTTTCTAACTTATTTTACAAAATCGTCCATTTTAACACTGAATGTGGCGGAACTTGGCAAACTTATAGCTAAAAGCCACTTCGAACCACAATGTTCTCCACTAGTAATGCACACTTTTATAGCATTAATTCTTTACATATATATTATTCATTATTGTCATGCATATTATACACAATTAATAAAAATAACAGTAAAACAAGCAACACTGACTTCTGTAATCACGTAAGCAGAAATATCTCAATACAAAATATCACTCACCCAAACCCTTTCATCATATTAAGTTTATAAAGATGATCATTCTCTGCAAAGCTTACATTATAAGCACAAAGCTATACAATTAGTCACAATTTTATTATACGCATTCAAAATTGACATTGATATCCACCAGTTATTCAGCAACTGGACATACACAATGTTGGCAACTTCAATTTATTCTGTAGTTCAAAATTCACAAAACTCCCTTTCTGGCCAAGAGTCATTAATAATCTGCATGTTAAATAAACATAGATAGCCAAATGATACCAATACTCAGACATATAAAAAAGAGAAGAAGCAAGTTTATTCTAAGAAATGCGAGTAAATAACAGTTTAACTTAAACTCATTTCAGGAATTCTTTCACTGCAGCAGTGATAATCTATTATAAATGATCCAACTGAAAGATGAAATCAGTCCTATATATTTGGAAGTAAATTTGTGTTTTTTAAAGATCTTGACTATTTACAGGTGTTTCATAAGCCTTGGAAGTCATACATTTACATAGAATGGACTGCATGCCCACATAATAAATGGATTAACCACACATCTGACAAGTTGTAAACTTTGAAGATGAGAGGGAGACAAACAGTTGTATAAACAATATTAGGATAGAACACAAATAATAAAATGTGACAGACAGGGGACATGGAGAGGAATCACCACCTTCTACTCCCTACATCTCTAAAATTGAATGAATCTCAACTCATTGTTTTGGGCTACTGATATTTTCATGTAACATAAAATAACTGATAATGAACCTACCAGAGAGATCCTGAGACCCTTCATGCCATGCAGATATGCATATACAAATTACACAAGCCAACTGCCTGTTAACACTGTGTATTTTATAGACAATAAACAAAGAACTGAAACATGTCTGCTTTTTAAATAAACAGTCTTAAAAGGTAGTTGACTTCTGAAATTTGTACTGACAAATGCCACCACAAACATAAATATGATACCATTCTCCACTTCATTATTCTTTGATAATGGCTGTCACAATATTGAAGTAAATGATGGAGCAGAAAGGTCAATGCAGCTCAAGACTGAAAACTATGATTGAATTTACTAACAACAAACTATGGAAATCACACAATTGTAATTTTCCTACATAACTGCCTTGGTACATGGTATAAGAGACTCTTCATGCCAACACTTCCATAAGGTGATGAATTAAGATGTGACAGGATGCTTCAAACTGCAGCAGAAAATCTTCTATGAAGGCAGCATTCAGCAGTGACTGATGCTGAAACTGACTGCATTCTTGACAGCTGACAGATCTCTGAGATCAATAACATTGGTATTCTACTGTGAATCTTGCATCTCTACATTATTTTAAATTAAAACATATGGAAGCACTGTTTGAAGAATCTCAGGGAATTTCTTGGAGTATTAATATTTTGAGGATTTGTCTTATTGAATAAAAAAGACTATAGAAATATTTACAGTAAGTGGCTAGTAAATTGTTACAAACATATCTCAATATAAGGTTAAGACAAAGTCATACCATTCTGCTGTAACAATGATGTGGGTTCAGTAAGACATTCAAAACAGCTTATATTAAAGTAAAGAGACAAATCTGTATGTATATATAAAAGAAATTTAATCACTTAACCTACTGTCAACAAATTTCAGATTATAATTGCACAGCTGTGATTAACACATTTTTGAATTGGTAAAATTTCTCACCTGGTTTTTAGTGTAAGAACTGTTAAATAAGTAACATTTCATGCTTTAAGTAAGATGCCATTATGAGTTTATGAATCAAAGTTAGAGGAATTACAGTGAGGTATATTGGGCAAATCAATAGCCCCTCAAGTTGGGTATCATAACTTTCAAATATATACATATATGACCAGTTGTTGAGATGTTTTGAAACTATTAGTCCAGGTCCAGATGAGAAGGACCGTCAGCAGAAACTGATGATTAACTAACTGAATATTAAGCAGAAAATAATATAAATGATGATGGCTAGTCAACTTGATCTTCCGCCACTAAGTGGGACAAAGATTTCTGACATAACATATATAAATGTTACATGTTAATGTCACATTGCTTTTCCACACTGTACAATCAAAACACTTCTTTAAAAAATCTTAATAAAGCCAATATACACAGGGCAGAATTATTACAAATAAAGTAGGCCTATATACGATTTCTAGCACTTTAAGTCAATATGAAACTTTCAACCCATGCAGTTCATAAAATTTCCAGAATTAAACTGGATTTAATGTCCTACAAATTTCAATGCCTGTGTAAGTCTAAGCAGAAGGTAACAATCCTACTTAAAGTATTACTGCCAGATGACTTTAGATACACCTTTCTGTATTCATACAAATGTTCCAAAATAGTTTGCTGTACATATAAACTTCCTGGTAACTACACTGAGTACAAATTAACACTGCCACTAGGTTTATTGATTACCCTACATGATTTATTCCACAAAGCAACTGAATTGTATATGTTTAAGGTATAATATCACCTGTGCTTCTTTTTCCTCTAGTTTAAACATTTATGAACCCCATTCGCAGAAGCCAGTATGTTTAAAATAAGGAATATAACTGGTGGGGGACAGGACAGAAATTTAACAGGACATTGGTCACCTGCAATATAGTATGTACACTATTTATACAATTTATCAGTGCTTGTAAAGGTTTTTACCTCCAACATACTAGGCCTATTCTAACTGTTCTTCATTTCAAAAGTGACATTTTTACCTACCAAACCTAGTAAAATATGTTGTTTTACAAGTATAATTTGAGTGCTCCAAGAGAAAAATATCTGAGGTTAGAAACTATGCTCCATTTTGATTTACAGCAAAATAGTAAACCAAAAATATTAATAAGACTTTAGTTATGAATAAGGTTAGTAGTTCTGAGTTACCAACTATCAAGACTACTTAGTATTTTTTTTAATAAGAAAGGGAGTGAAAAGTGTGACATAGCACTGTCAGTGTAGGCAACAAAAATAATTTCAGAGCTTTAAACTACAAAGCTTCATAACATGATGGAAATTAATTCAATGAAGTTATTTTAACTTATTATTATTAAGTAATACAAAAGTAGTATCCAAAAATCATATTCTTCTTTGTAATGGGGCACATATATTGATACCATCCTTCTGTATGGACAAATACAATAGAAAGGATTTGTCTGAGTTTCCATATTATAATCACCTTACAGGCATTTGTTAATGATATCAATATATTTTACTTCAGATAAGGGTTACTTAAAATTATGGCATGATAACAGATGTTAACATATCACGAACCGAATTCAAAATGTATCTACCTACTTCATAATTCACATACATAACTGTCAACTGTAACTTGTACTTAAAAACATTGAAACCATACTGTAAAGCAAAATAAACCACAAATTTTACAGTTTTGTAGTATAACAAAGTCTCACACATAGATTTAATCAAGTACTACATTCAGTCAGAAGAAAATGTGCAATTCATTACAGAAAATATTTTTTGGGGGGAGAATAAAAAATACTAAAATAAAATACCAATACCCTGACAAGCATAATTAGGCTCTTTTCCACAGAGCAACATATCGTTGTACATTGTACATTAACTGTGTACCTCTCTAGTAATCATTAAATATGTTTGAAAATGTCAATAAACTTTGACACAATGAGTCCTACAGATAATTTACATCACAAATTACTGGGTTGTGAGACAACAGAAGTTCTACACTGGAATGATACCAATGCTATTAGATTCATAAATTAGACAATATCTGAATAAATGTTAATATTTTTATATAAGTTACAAGCTACTTTCTCTTTAACAAAGCACAAAAAATCTTGAGTCACATAATTTTTAAATACGTCATAACTGCATTCAGACTGGACTTACCAACAATCTGTATTAGTTAAACTAGCATGAAACAAATTAATGAACAATGAAACATTAAACTGGAAAACCTCTCTTACGTATGGCATTACTCAGACATTAAGATCCATAAATTCCAGTGATACAGTACTGACAACAGTATCAAAATACTTTACTGCCATGCAGATACACAGACTACATTCAAATGACTTAGTCCTCAAATCCAGTACATTTGAAAAGGAGAATAAATAAATGTCCATACCAAAAATTATGTCAGGTTATGAACTGCAAAAAACAAAAACTGCAAAAAAACACTGCAATGAATACACAAAAAAACTCTCCTTAAATTACGATACTGATTGATGTGCCATATTTTCTTAAGACACCACTTCAGAGCTTCTCAGGTATACCAGTGTTACTTAAATTTAACAAATATATATATATTCTATTTTATAGGCAATTCAATTGGACAAAGAAATAATGCAGGATAAAGACCATTAGCCTTAAAAAAATGTTTCCACAACCAAGTCACCTGGACCCTTTGTAATAATAATTAATTATCCAAATCACTATACTAAGATAAATACTATGCTCTAAAATGTTATAATAAATCTTCATTTATCCAAAACAATCAAAATGTAATGTCAAAGATAATTACCAACAACATTTTAAAATAAAGAAAACAAACACTATGTACACATTTTTCTTATTCCTTTCTTGATTTGATGATTATAAATAATATGCCTACAGATATCGAGCCAGCTCTTCAAATGGTAACAACCATCAAATCAAGCTGTATTGCTTCAGCATTCAAGACTACCATGTAACGTGTAAAGATACAATGTGTCTGTCACCAGAGAGCTTCAAATTGCATGTTAACAAACCCAGGAGACTTGCGGGATTCCCAGTACTTGTGACTGTACTTCCATGACTCTTCACCATCAACTGTAATGCATTTGCTGAAACATGCACAAATTAAAATTAAACTTAAAAAGAGGAACATGTGTAGATTCAAAAAAAAAAATGAAGGAAAATGGTACTACTGAAAATAAATACATTATCCAAAAAGTATTTAATTTTGGGCTTGTAATTCCTGCAGAATAAAACTGCTACTTTACATCCATAAACCATGACAACCTCAGTTTCAGTCATATGCACATAAAAACATGCATTGCTTGCTTCTCTGAAGACATACCACCAGTTTTCAAACTCCTGCACATGATCTTAGAAAAAATTATGGTAAATCTGATGAAAAAAGTGTAACATTATCCTTCCCCGTTCAACCTCGCTTTAAGATACAATATTTGAATATCCTGTTATGGTATATTTTAATGACAATAGAATTTTCTGTCAAACAAACAACAATTACATTTTTATTTAACCTGTATTATCAAATGGTTAAACAATACAGTTTTAATAAATTGTTTAACACAAAATACACAAAACAGAAGTAATATTTCTAGGAAAGATTAAATGCAAAAAAATGAAAAATAAAAACTTAAAACATAAGATAGAAATTGCACATATACACTGTAAAAAATAAAGAAATGACTGAGAAGACCAACAATCATGAACAAAAATGTGTTTCTTCCCTAAAATAGGGGAGGCTGGAGTATGGAGCTAAGCACTCACCTCCAAAAATTTAAGATTCACATAATTTTATCTCTACACCTAACCCATGTAGCATGGTAGTAAGGTATCAGACATGAAGGTTACTTTACAAAAACCACTGTTGTCATTTTAAAACAATGAAATCTTTTTAATCTTAATTTACTTTATCAGGTTTCCTTCACTTAATAACAAACATGTATTTTACTCATCATAACACTTGTTATTTTTTCTTTGGTATTATAAAATAATGGAGCCATCTATGAGATAATAATTCAAGGCATAGAAATACAGTTTCATTTCTATGTATCTCAACAAGACAGTGTTCTTTTTAGACATACCTAAACCATCGTGGCTCATGCTGTATACCTTCCAGCTCTTTACGTTTCCGTCGGTCCCGTTGTGCCTGTTCCAACTGAAGCTTTAAAGTTTCTGCTGCTGACAGATTCCCTTCTTCCAGTAATCTAAGGACAATGTTAATAAATTATGTGCATAAGGCAAAAGTAGCACGGAATTTGTAAGTACAGGGTCATGTATAAAATAAAAATAAAATTAAACTTTAACTTATTTTAAACTTCTGATATGTTTTACTGATACCATATGTTTGTGCATGTTATGTTCTTATGTGAGTTTTATAACAACACTATCTATTGTAGTGTTACTTAGCATCAACAACACAGGATAATTACACACAGTGAACTATTAAGATGTAATGTTACATCAAGGTATTATTCCTGCATGTGCCTGGAAGATCTGAGAAAAGTTACTGATACAATTCAGGTAGGATGACACTTCAGCCAAGATACAAATCGCATACTACCAAATACAAGTGGAAAATGTTACCATTATATAAGCTAGTAAAGTTTTAGAGTGACAGACTGTGTGTGCTTGAACATCTGCATGTGCATGAGCATGCAAACATGAGACAGTGTATGCACACATGATTACAACTCAATACAACAAACAAAACAATACCACTTACGTCATTCCCTCAATGTCTGTGAAGATGCTTGATTCATTATCCAATATTATGTTGGACAATGTGTACTGTCTGAGGTGTATCTGGTATGCAAGATGTAACATAAATACAACATAACTAAACATGGCTACTTACTATTGACAGGTCAGAATTTAGGATCTGTTACAGGAAGGAACAGTATTAAATGAAGCAGGAATTAAGATTCTAAATTGTCTGTACAGAAAGAGCAAAAAATCAAAGGTTCAGGGATAGGAAAGCATAAAAACTAAATAAAAGTATGAGTGTATCCCAGTATACAATAGGACTTACCAACTATAGCAAATTTTAATAACAATTTTAAAGACTTTTAAGATTTAGCAAATACTTGTGATCATATAATATGCAATTTTTAACAAATGGACCTATCTACATAAGATCAATAAACATAATATCATATGACATAAAATAAACTACAATACATATTCACCAATACTAATATGACTGTACAATTATACAAATTCTGCAGTAAATATTTGCATTTAAGATGTTTTAGCTATGTATATCAAAGGTTAGCACATAATAATAATTTAACAATAAAGTATGACCTAAAAATATTATTTGCAATAAAATTTACAGCACATAACTATATACACACAGATTTCTGTACATTTCTTTCACAAAGCATGTCTTTGAGAGAGCATTCATTAAAATCCAAAATGGTCTCTCTGGTGCCATATTTCATGCTGATGTCCTTCATGCTTTAAAGTGACACATTTTTTTAAAAAGCTTAAAGATTGCTGAATATTGTACACACAAAAAACTAGTACCAAACATTCTGTAACACACAAAATTAACAGAAGACAAGAAAGTGTTCAGTGTAAAGTCAAATCATGAATGTCCAACAACAATAGGAAAATGCAACCTTGGGAATGTAATTAAAGAGAAGTGATTGGTTTAAACTCTGTCAGTACAGAAGGCCATGCACTGTATACTATCTGTAACATGACAAAGGAATCACTGCAACTTGGAGAATGTATTTGATAGCATGCACATAATAAGAACTGTTATTTTACTATAAATTTTCTTGAAATCAGGGAGCTTCGTGGATGAAATGTGCATTTTATGGACACATGAAAACTTTATTCAAGACATTTCTCTGTGAGATATGTTTCACATACAGAGTAATGTGATACCATACTGAGAAGTTAAATGACTTATTGCAGTTATCTCCAAATGTTTTCTTCAGATCACTTGCAAATCCAATCAGCCATTCTCAAGTTATTATATGGCATAACTTGTAGTTCTTATGACCACTGATATATGGCAACAAAACCTTAGCCAAAAGATGTGATAGATGAACATAATATGCCCTAATATGTCCTTTGCTTACAACAAAGCATAAAAATATATAAAACTCAATAAAAATCTATGATGTAGAATCATAGGATTTCTCAAAATCATAATGAATATACATATTTTAAACTGATGTGTGTGCCTGCAGTGTTAAATAAAATTTGTCAGTGTTCAGTGTATTATGTCGGTGGACCACCTACATGAAGCTCATGGACCACACTCTGGGAAACTCAGATTCAGAGGTGAATATTATCACGTACCTCTGATCTGGCCGGAATCTTGTGTCTGTAATTGGGAGATATTTGGCCATGTCTGGATCTAGTTCATTAAGCTCCATTGCAAATCTGGTGAATCCATAGTACATTTCATACTCTTCTGGCATCGTTCCTGAAGACAAAGAACATGTTCACTGTTTTCATATCTTATCTAGATGAATCTACCTACATTCTTAAACTATATCATGGTGCCCTTCCTGACAAATAACATATGCTTGCCCCCCTCCCCATGACATGAATTAAATTTAGCACTGTTGTCCATCTTAACAGTCAAACAACGCACAGCTTCATTAAGATTTTCAGTGCTTATTTTCCTTGTACTCCCTATCGCAGAAAATTAAACTTCTGCCATTCCACATCTATACTGCTTGGGCTGTGACAAACAATCTGCCCAACTCTCAAGAAACTTTCTTAGAATTTGTAACAAGACAGATTTTTACACACATTGGATGGCCTGACTCCTATTCTGCAAGCTGGAGGACCATACTTTGTTAGCTGTCTGTGCATGCTTGAAGTATTTCAGCTACCTTTAACATGCACATTCATCTTTTTTATATATACATATATATATATATATATACACACACACACACACACACACACAGTAAAACCTCTCTATGTTCCACAAAATGTGTCCAAGATAGAGGAAAAATAAAAATCAGATTGTGGTCTAATGACAATACAATCTATTTACTTACATACACTGACTACTGTAGGCTTACTTGAATTAAGAATTGATGACAATAGTATTAATAATAATCTTTTGAAGCCCATTCCCATGCATTGCACATTAAACCCCAGCCTCAATAACATTTTCTAAAGTTAATTCCACCAATTTTCGCTTCCCCATCGCAAAAGGAAAAATTCCATTTCTGTTAACACAGTCTTAACTCAAATGCAAGCACAGTACTGATGGCGTTAAAACTGTCTTTTCTGCAATACTGTAGTCCAGTTAAGGGTTCAGCAAAAGAATAGTTAAATACTTGCAATGCATTCCAATGATGGGTTCAATGTCCATAAGATAATCCTTCACAGAGGAGGCATTCATCAGTCAGAAATTCAAAATAACAAAATATATAACTGAAAGAGTTTCCCTGAAAAGCATCGAAGTTAAGTGCATGAACCTGTCCAACTTACAACAAAAGGGGTGTTTAAGTTCCAGGATAAAGGGGTGTCCAAGATATAGGGTATTGTGGACATGTAAAATTATAGGATATTCACTGGTTCCAATCAAAAGTGTCCAATACAAAGGGGTGTCCAGGATATAGGGGTGTCTAACTTGAGGGGGTTTAATGTATACATACAAACATACAATCATTTCATTCAGTGATATGGTTGCTAGATGACCATAAACAGTTTTATAGCACAAGTAGTAAACTATGTTCACCGTCACTTTGTTCCTTGGCAACTGTTTAAGTGTATCAAGAAATTACTATGAGGCACGACAGAGCTAAATAATAGAATACTGATCAATGGGAATAGGTACCATTGGTTTTGGGTAAGAAGCCTAAAATATAATATGTATTGACCTGAGCCCTTTTTACTGAACATCAAAGATATATTTTTAAGATTGTCACAATAAATAAGCAGTTTTATTATTTCAATAAAGTTTGTTTTAAACATCTGAAGATGAAGCTTGTTTAAATATTATTTAGGATTTCAGATCTTACCTCAAAGAAAACACAACCTTTCTCCATTATAGAGATCAAACGTTTTATGTTTTTTAAGGAAATGACAGCTGATTAGTTTGAGAATCATATGTTAATCCATAAAAATACTGTAGGCACAATGCAAAGTTATTGATGGTTAAAACAAGTGGTACATACAGTTATCAGTGGGTTTTAAAGATAAGGAAAAACCAGCATGAAGAATGGACACTTTCATTAGCAAAAATATAGTCCCATTATATTGATTACCTGGCCTCCACACACACCGAGCAGAAGGTGCAACTCCACAGTACAGGGCTTCACTCCATTTCCCAAACAAATTCCTCACAACCTTCCCTTCTTCATTTGTCACTACACCGAACACTTCATGCCGTTTGGCTGACCAATAGCTTGCCTAAAAGTACATCATATACTTAAAAACCTATCCTTCACATTTGACAGCAAAACTTATAAATAATGTGATACCTTATAGAAAAAGAAAGTATAGTAGGTGATAATGAAAAACAATGACAGGCTGAAGGCTATGGCATCTGAATGATGCAGACCCATCATTTGGGAAATAGTATTCAGGTCCAGTGTCATATTAAGTACGTACAAATTAAAATAAAAAAATACTGTAATTGCACATAGTGGTAGTCATACATTAAAATAAATGGATTTAAAGTGGGTTCTCTGTCAAAGTCATACACAGACATTAGGAAAATCATGTTTCAGTTAGATGCTGAACTGAGCCAGACAATTTAAAATTAATATTATATAACATTTTTCTCAACTAAAAATATATAACCAAATCCGGTAGGGTGTCACATGTCAAAACAAACAGACTTCAAAGAGTTGATTCCACTTCATATACACAGTGTTTGTAAGATGTGCAAGTAAATACAGCAGCATATGTTAATACTGTGACCTCAATTCAACCTTTACATTCATTTATCAAACCTTCAGCTTAACTTAGTGAGAAAGTCAGTTAACTTCCTAACACATTCATGATTCAACACCATCAGGATGACTTTCACACTGCACAGTCATTAGTCATATTAACCATTTCAAAAACTTTGTGTAAACTTGTGTATTAATTCAAGATGATTCCTCTCACATTTTTGTTAAACCACACAGAAAAACCCTCCTACTGATCTAGTTACAATATATGAACAGTGAAGTGCGTGTTTCAAATTGTCCTAAGGATACACTTTAAATACACAACCCTCAGGATTCTATTCTCATTACCTTGACAAATGTAAGTTTGCAGTTGATTCTGCCATTGGTAATACGCAGCTCTCCATACTGATCAACCCAGCGTTGACCACCAAACAGATTGTGCACACACGTTGTTACTTTGTTCCACTGATACTGGTCACCATATCTGGGCAGCTGTACATTTACACTACCTGCATATATTCAGTAACTTAGTGTTGCTAGATGGAGAAAAAGGAATTTATGTCATATACATCAGGATGATTAAATATACTTTTATGAGACTGTAGCAGGTCCACAGCAGTTTAAACCCTGAATTTTATCAAGATCAACATGCTGTACGACTACATAACATCCTGTTTAAATGTTCCCAGTATGAAAACAGAACATTCCCTAGTGAACTTTTTGCACTAATATTAATAACAGGTATGCTGTGGTGGAACATATTACAGTGAGGAGCATATTGTTCCTGTCTTGTGCTGTACCTTAATTGGCCTTCTTGCTGTTGATACAGCACACTAATAATAAAGAATTGAATTGAATTTCTTCTGTGTAACAAATGGCAGGCAAAGGTTATCATAAACTTAGAATTATCCTTTTATGTAACTAAAATTAATTCAGAACATCTAGAATATGCAATTTTTCTTGATAGAACAATGTAATGACATATATGATGTAAATTATACATTTATGTTGAGTGTCAAATGATTGGTCAATATTGTAGAGGCAGGTGACAAACTTACAGATATGTTCAATGTAATCTTAACAGGCTCTGCACATTAAAAAAAGTAACAAATTTCAGTGAAAGACAAAAACTGTATTTGGAGAAACTTCCATTTATATTTAAAAGTACCATTTTGATTACCTGTTGGTTGGAACTCCATCGATTTTCCCCAAAATTTAGTCTTGATCCTAGCATCTTGGCTGAAGATGAAGTTTCGAGATTCTGCATAGCACACACTGATGGGAGGATGGTGACTCACCTGGCAGCAACAAATAAAAAGATGTACTAAAATATATCTGTTGTATGTTATGAATGTAATTTCTTACATTAAGGAAAGAACAAATATTGCAAATAATGAGATCAAGATGATCATAAAAGTGTCTAGGAGTGGGCATGAAAGGTTTATTAAACTAACCAACCAACTCCAAGAAGCAGAGTCTTCTTGACAAGGTAATATCAACAGCCACTTAGCAAGTCAAGAAATGCCCCACATTTTATAAGAGACAAAGTTTCTTTACTGTGTTCAAAAAACCCTCCCACAGGTCGCTATTCTGAACCAGATTAACCCAGTCAACATTCACACACTTCACATCCCTTTTCCCTAAGATTCATTGGACTCTAGTAGTAGTAGTAGGATATTTATTCTATTAAAATGGAAAACAGGAAATAAGTTCTAAGGATGTGAACTAGCCTGAATTTGCTTTGGTATCAGACGTCCTCAACTTTCAGATTGTTACCTTAGTCATTTACTTACTTACTTAATTAGTATATATTTGATTATCACCTCCATTAGCTGTTACCTGTTCTGCTATGAAACGGAAGCCCTTATCTTCTCGGATACATTCATATGTCTCTCCTAATACAGGGTTGAACGGTTTGCTTCCTGCCCGAAAGTAGGAGGATCCATAACTTGATACTGCAAATGCTGCAATGTATACCATTCGTTCATATGGCTCGTCCACCTCTGCAGCTTTATCCAGAAGTTCACTGTACTCTAGTTCTTCACACATTCGCTACCAACAAACAAATGTTACAAATAACGTCTCAGAACCCAAAGCTGTAGAACATAATACGTGCAGGCAAGAAGTTATTACTTTTTGTGTGTATGTGTATAACCAGGTGTATCTCAGCATTCGAGTGAGGTCCATTTGTCTTTCTCACCATTTCTCTCTTTAGACACTGCATACAAAGTGTTTACTGGAATTATATAAATGAAATAATTTTAAAAAAATATTCTGAAACAAGAAATATTTGCAAAGTATGAAGAAACAATAACTCATAGTACAATAGAATGAAACTAAACAGTAACATGAGAAACATATGAACATTCATTTCACTGAGAGAGAGAGAGAGAGTTTTCCATAGTTTATAAACACAATTAAACATGTCTGTTCTGCACACTGCTATACAAAATTGACAGAACCCACTTTATGTTAGAAAGAAGCCAATATAAAAAAGCAACAGTAAAAATTACCTGCAACATGTTGAGAGGTTCATTTAATGCAACTGGCATGGAGACTTGTGACAAATCTTTGCCAATGTTCTTGCACAGCAGGTTCCAGAGAGACAGCCCTTCAGTGTCAGGTCTTGGCGCAGATAGTTTGGTACGTCGTCCTGTCATACATTTCATGTTGGAAGCCCCAGTTCCTTCAGCCACTAGAAACATATGAAAACTGAATATGAAGTGCATCAATAATATTATACTTGACAGTAAAAGAAAGGAATTGAATGTATGAAGGGATGTTATTGCATAGGATCAAGTATTGTAATTAAAAAGCACTTTGTCATTAACCAGTTCTTAATATATTATATCCACAATTTCATAAGACCCTTGGATTAATAACTACAACACAGCCTCAACAAACTTATGTCAATCAATATTTAAAACTTGTTAAAAATCACTTCAAATTCATTCCCTTCCAATGATAAGTGCTGTCTTATGCTTAACCTAGACACTAGATTGGGGTAAGTGGTCAGCATTACACACTGCTGACACTTTAACCCCACAGAGAGGACCCCCCACCCCGAGTACCAATTGGATAGAAGGCTGGGTAAACCTCAGAGCCAGTCTAAACACAGAGGCTTGTCTCTACCAGTGATCAAACCCCAGCTGTCCAGTCTGTAGTCAGACACTAAAATGACTGAGCTATTCTGGCTTGCCACAAACCAAAGTTATTTTCCTTTCTGCACGCAAACCTCTATGAAAGGAATTATTTGATGCAAATTAACCAATGCTTGGAGCTACAAATGTATATATTTCAAAATCAAGATACATTAAAATCAGGCAATACAAAATATCCAATGACATTATGCTATTGTGTGATACAGACAATAGATGATCTGGGGGTATACAACCTTATCAGAGCATGGGTCACACTGGAAAATATGAAGACCATTAATGGCCAGTTTAAAGTGTAATAAATCCTTCATGTAGTAAGTCTTTTGAAACCATTAGTCCGTAAATCTGTTTTAGGCTAGTTGCCATTAATGCAATACCTGCCATCACCAGATCAGATCATGAATGTCCACTATGAGTCAGAGCAGAGAATTATCTTTTCAGCTTTGAATTCCTCCTACCACATACTACCTGCTTTCTTGGTGACTGCAAGTGCAAGCATATAAGGAAAATACATCTGGATTTCAGTTCACAAAGCAACAGTGTAAACTCAAATGCATAAAGTTTATTGTAAAGAAACAAATGAGAACCAAAACTGCTATTTAAAAATTTAAGATTTATGACACATGTGCATTCTGAAATTAAAACCATTAAACATTCACACACACACACAAACTTGGCCCATGGACTAAAAGTACTAAGGGTTACATACGAATCTTTTGAACCACAATATTAAAAATAAATTTTATACAAAAATTTATGGACACTTTCAAGAAGCTTCTTTCTCAATACAATGGACCATATACTTCAATAAACAGATGACTCACAAAAAATTGAAATGTCTTTGGAAGAAGAAAAATACAAGTATTAAATAAAATTAGCATTAATAATTCATTGTAATCCTATTCTTTCAAACAAACAAGAAATCTTAAATTTGAACATTTACCTCCATCAGCATATTCAGTTTTTATTAATAAATATAATATGCTGACTTGAACAATTTTAGCTATTGGTCACATAAAATCTCACCAATGAAAAGTTAGGTGTATATAAAAATAAATATTTTAAAAACAGAAACTTTTTACCCTCTTTATGCAACCCTCAGCCATAAATTATATATCCTTTATGACTTCAAAAAGAAAAAATGAAATTACATTCAGAATTAAATTCATGCAGAATTAGATCATACTTACGACTCTGTGCTGGGGTGTACTCTGTACCCACTTCACTATTCTCACTGCTGACACTGCCCTCTTCACTAGTAAGGCTACAAGCTTCAGATGACGTATCACTACCATCACGTCCCCCTTGCCTATCCTGATGTAACTGGTATTCTTCTGCATCAAAGAATTCAGACGCACTAATGCAAGATGAGCTGTATGATAGCGAAGCATGAAGAGGTTTCTGAAGCTGAAAATAACAAGTATTTATATTACATTACAAACCAAACTAATAGAAAGCCCAGCTGAATGATTTATTCTGTTACTTCTGATTGTCTATATCAGTATATACAAATGGATAAAATGCTATCAATATTGGATTAATATTGATATGAATGCACTGTCTACACACAGCAGTATTTTATTGTTATATCAATTAACTGTGAATACAATCACTGGAATGAAATGAAATATGTATTTCAACATAGGATTCTCGTATCAGGAATAAACTGTGTGTGTGTGTACACGCATTCTATATTAAAATTAGATTTAAGTGGCACATAGTTTGTGGGTTAGGTTACCAAAGACAAAGCCCACTGAGTTTTCTGTCTTAAAGGTTTTCACTAACAGAATATCATAACTTCAGATTTAGAAGTATGGCATGGCTGATTTGTAAACTACCTTTCAGAAATAAAATACAAACCTAACAAATGAAACATTTATCAGTAGGTTAAGGCATGAAGTAAATCTTTTAGAATAAAAGACAGTCCCAATAACAAATATTTTGTAATACCTCCTGAGTTACTAACAACAGAATGTGTGGCTTCACATCCTGGGAGATACCAACAGTCATGTAGATGCTGCAGCAGTGTGTGCACCTACTGGTTACAAGATAAAAGTGTCAAAGACAACTGCTGCCTTATAATTCTTTGTAGTTATTGTGATCTACTGTCTGTGACTCGGAATTCAGTGCTCATATGATCATTATGAAAACTTCATTTTGTTTCTTGATCACTTTGAATCAAACTATTCTTTAAAAAAAATCTGTCCTACACATTACTGAGGACAAGAGCAGCTGTAACAAAATTTACTCAGACTTCCTTCATAAAGTTGAATTAATATAAGTTTTAAGCATACAATGAAGCCAAACATGGTTTTAACACATGACATGCCCTTCATTAGACTCTTAATGCAAGTCCTCTCTGAACATAAGTATGAATTTAAGGTACTTTTTATTAATAAATCAGAGGAGTTTTTTAAACTTGGAGAACTCTGTAAAACTTTCATTTCTGCATATGATCACTTTCTGCAACATATTCCAGCTTCACTCTTCAAAAAATGTCTATAAAAGAAGGCATCAAGACTCACAGTTTTTATCCACTTTTTGGATTGATGTAACTTGGTTCTGGGAACTATGCTTCTCCAGTTGATGAATCCAGTGAGAAGTAAAACTCACCACTTCAGAGGCAGGTCCAACTGAAGAAATATCACTGAGATCTGCTGTGTCATGGATACGAGCCAGTCTCAAGCGCAAGTCAGCATTCTGCTGCAGAGCCTGATTAAGAGAATTTCGCAGACTAGCTACCATATTGCCAGTAGCAGCTGATGAAGGGATGGAAGCCCCAAGGTTCAAAAGAAAGGTACTGTCTGACTCCAATGCAGTCTTCAGTCGGTCACGCTCTGTAGTCAGTGTGTACAATACTATCTTTAGGCTACCATTAACTGTGAACACAAAACACAAATTGTAAATGAATAAAATTAATACTAAATTTATTTCTTGCTTTAATTAATGGCATTTTATGAACTATATACCTTAAAAACTGGAGTAACAGGATGATTATCAACAATAAAATTAGAACTAGCCTTGATATATTTCAAGACATTTTTCGACATTTCCTGCTGTCACTGAGAAAAATAATAAGATTACCCAAGGTAGTCAACCAAGGGGCAGAAAAATGAACCCAACTGAACTGCTACTACACTGCAACATTAGGGAAAATTTAAATCATACTTACCAAGAAGTTCAATAAAACGTTTTAAGCATATCACTTGCAAAGTAAGAATGTAAATGAATACAGTATGACAGTGCACTAATGTTATAATACACTGTAGTGGGAATATCCTTTACTGCAGTTTGCCATTTTTAAGTAGGTTAGTGTACTCTTATGTGACAAGTGTTTGCTATATTTTTTTTAAATTAAATCCTGATTTATAAGTTTGTAGGATAACCATCTCCAAGATGAAACAATGGCATTTATACCTGATATCTAAGGAGTTTTTAGCTGATTTTACTCAATACAAACTGAAGTCCTTTATCACAATATCCAGATGGTCTCTGGTGATCCAACCAGCCTCATATACAATGGGAATCAGAGTTATTTTCTTAAAAGTAAAGCTGCTGAGGCATTAAGCAAACAATTCACCTCCAGTTAGTGCCAAGATTAAGAACGTGTGGAGCTATTAATCTGCATGGCATGGTGTGTGGTTACATACCAGGGACAACTTTACCTTTAGATGCACAATTTAAATTTTATGTTTTTTTAAGAAATCTGTGACATAAAGTGCTTAACATGCCTGAAAAATACTATGTCATTAACAACAACAAAAAAAGAAAAATATACACAAATATTTGCTAACTTATGCCAGTTATCTTCAGTTTGATATTTCACATAATTACAATGAAAACTGAACTTTGCACAGTTGCACCAATATCAATTACGATGTAGGACTGCAATGGAAACATAATCCTTAAATACCACATGTACCATGATTTTGAAAGAAAAAAGTAAGGAACAGTGCACATGCTTAGATGTTTAAAACCCAGTGGTAAATATACATATCATCTGCTTTAACAATAAGTAATTCTTCATTTTGTATTCATGGATTCTGTGTAAACAGCAATTATTTCCTTAATCAGCATTAACTGGTCTATACCTGTAATGGAGAAGTATTGTGTTTTCTTTGCAGCAAGCACTAAATATTTAAACATTAATTGGGCAAGATTTGGCTTCAAAGGGTTAACTACAGAGCAATGTTTTATTTTACATATCATGATTTTTCATTTCACAGAAATTTAATTAAGTGTGTGCACTTACTTTCAAAATGAGTTCATATTCCACTCAACTAACGCCTCTCTATGTGGGAGGAATTCTTATTCTGGGAACAGGAGATATTGTTCTTAACAGTGAGCTAGTAATGCAATTAACATAGCTATAAAACAATTTATTCTGAAATTATAAGAGTCTGATTTTGATCTAAATCAACATGGAGAACAAGTAGTGGAATAACTTACTTTCTTTGGCTAATATTGCAAAATCTTCCCGAATCTGGTTATCTGGAGTGCCTGATGGTTTGGTGTCTAAGTTGCATAGTGTAAGTGCTGCAGTGTTGTTAATAGTAGTTACAGCATTCATTGCAAGAGGAAGCAGGTGTTCAGGCCCTGGTAGGCTCTGAGGTCTTGCAGCCAGTGTTGTTGTAGGAAGTGAAGTGTTGCTGCTGCTCAAGCCCCCAGTTGTAGACTGCTGCTGGATGGATGAGACACTGAGGCCCATGAATGAACACGTCTGTCAACACAACCAATTACAAAAATAACTTACACCAACAACTTTGTTAATTATTTGTTCCATATGCATAAATAAATACCTAAAAGTATTAAACTCACCTTACAATCACCAAAGCATAAACAGTATATGAAAAAAATTACAAAATTATTTTTAACAGTTGGTAACTACACACTTTAACACAGTGATGTGTTTGATGAATATGTAACGGTTTTACTAAGAATTAAATATTTTATTGTGTCTCCATATGACAAGAATTTGTAAAATCTTTACAAGTTCATACATTTAAACTTCTGGGTGACATGCTTCAAACCACTGGCTGATCATCTGGCCCCTGTCCTGACTTGCTACACAAACTGCACTACATCAAGTATATTTTCCTTTTATAATTTTACAAGGCACCAGATTGAAATTTATACAAACTGTGCAAAAAAAGTTAAAAAAAAGATATTTTAAGATTAGATGGCATTGGTCTTGTGATAAGAATACCCATGAAAGCAGAAACATTCTTGTGGGACATTCAACAGTGGACCAATTAAAATGTAAGACTGGGTCTGAACATAAAAAATGTTGTATGATAGCAGATGAATGATTAAATATTTGCAAAAGTAACAGCCTCAGTGGAAATGACAACAGCCAGGAACATCACAGAGAAAATTAAATCTCTAATCATCCAAATACCTCTGTGCCAGGAAAACTGACTGACAGTGGAGATGCTGATTCAGGTTCAGTAGTCTTGTTGGGACTAGAACCAGTCAAATCTACAGAGCTTCCTTTGGAACTCTTTTTCTTCCGAAGACCAAATTTCTTACGGTCCTTTTTCACATTAGGAGAAAAGCCTTCATTTGCAAGCTGCAAAAACATGCACCATAAAACCTTTTGTAAGTGTAATGCATAATAACTAAAATCAACATATAACACAGACAGAATAAGTTACACAAATCTTAATTTTTAACAGAAAACAAATTTCCTGTGCATGTATAAATTTCAATGAATGAATAAATAATATAAATTTAAATAGGTTTAAAGACAATCAAAATTGCTAATA